CTGAGGCTGGCCTGTGCCTTTTCCTCGTAGGACAAAGAGCCGAGGGGCATCATCCCACTGGAGAACCTCAGCATCAGAGAGGTGGAGGACCCACGGAAACCCGTAAGTGGCCTCCTTTTGCCAGTGTCCTTTTTTTGCCTTCTTGGACTGAGCTTGCAGGTGCCCCAGGCTGGGAGCCTAACAGCAGCTTGGGAACCCCTTTTCTCTCTCTCCCCAGAACTGCTTTGAGCTTTACAATCCCAGCCACAAGGGACAGGTCATCAAAGCCTGCAAGACAGAGGCTGATGGCCGGGTGGTGGAGGGAAACCACGTGGTGTATCGCATCTCTGCACCCAGCCCTGAGGAGAAGGAGGAGTGGATGAAATCCATCAAGTGAGTGAGGCTGGGGAGGGAGCGTGTGCGTGTGCCCGAGGACACACTCAGTTTGCCTTTTGACCCTTGTGTCTCCAGAAACTTAGGGCAGTGCTGCTGAGCCCACCCCACGGCATGAAGCTGCTCTCTGGTTCGAGGCATGGGAGTGGACAGAGGAAGAAGGGTTTGGGTGCACCATGGCCAGTGCTGCCCTCGCCCTAACCAGCTCCTTCTCTTTTCTTCCCCAGAGCAAGCATCAGCAGGGATCCTTTCTATGACATGTTGGCAACGAGGAAAAGGAGGATTGCCAATAAGAAGTAGAGCTGCCCTGGCCCAGCAGGTAAACTAAAGACCCAAACCCCACAACAGATGTGACTGGCAGCTGCCCTAACACGACACGTGGGCTGCACCTCTCGGGTCACAGTGGTCCCCAGAACCAGCTGTGGCCCCACCTGTACACCCTGAAGCCTGTGCTGCGTGTGGCCTGGATCGTGGTCGGCCGTGTTTCCTCCTGTTGCTGTGTGGCCCAGAGCCTTGGCTCCTGTGATGCCGCAGCAGCGAAGGAAGATTCCCGGTGGGCATCCGTTGATCTTGCCACGCACACCGGCCCACTCGGGCAGTGGCAGTGACCATTCTAGAAGTCACTGTTTTATATCAAAATGGGAATGGAAAAGCTACCACTTTTTTAATTCAGAATTTTTCTCAGATATATAGGATTATAGCTTTTATATGCCTTTTTATATCCTGAAATTATAAAGACACTTTCTAACAGTAGTATTTTTAGAATGGCAGCTATAAATATAACTCCTGGACACAAGTACATACTGTGCACTGAGAAAAAAGTATATGCAGCACCCAAAAGGAGGGCTGTAGGGCACTTGCACTTGGGTGGGAGCTGTAGGAGGAGGCACTAGTGTCCTCTAGGACCGGTACACTTGGGGGGCTCCAGGTATGATAAGCCCTGCAACCCCCCTCTCTCTTTTTTGGCCCTACATATACTTTCTAAAACCAGTCATTATGGTTATAGTTATGGTTTGGGGCTGTTAGTCCTATAACTGCTGAATCCTAGGACAAGGAGCTCTTTCCATGGGCAGATCACCCACAAGGCGGACCACAGGAAACTGCTTGTATCTGACCATTTCTAATCCACAAAAATAGCAGTTCTACCTGTTCCACAGAATACATGGGTCAGATCAGCTTTTGACCACATCCATTGCTACTTAAACCCTTTGGCAAAATTCTTATCTCCCTGACATAATCAGATTTCTTACTGAATGACTAGACATATAAATAACTGGGAATAGCCCATTGTCTTCCTCTCGCAGTACTATGTCTCAGACCTGAGCTTCCCTTGTGAGGAGGAAGAGAGCAAGCCCTGGCTGAAGCTGTGTGGCACGTAGGGTTTTCTGTGAACAGTAGAGAGCCCCAGATCTCAATCGGACTGGGCTCACCGAGACATACAACACAGGCATTGATGTCCCCCACATTGTGACTGTCAGAGAGGGGCAAGGATGAGGGCACTGGGCGACACAGCCTCCTTCCTGAGGACCTCTGTACCTTTGGGATGCCCGTGCATTAACACCTGGGCCCTCTTTAGCTCCACACATGGGCTGTTTCGCTGGTGGTCTCTGCTCAGACTGGCTCCCTCCCCGTCTGTGCTGGCACCCCCAGAGTTTGCACCGTTTGGAGGTTCTTTGTATTCCTGTGCGAAAGCAAGTCCAGGAATAAAACCCTCAGACCCAATGCATTTATGCAGAAATAAGTCTTCCCATGAGTTGCCTTGAGACAGAGACTGAGCAGCCCTTGGCCCTTTGCCTCTGGGTGGCTGACCTTAGTGTGGAGCTTTACATCACACCAGACTGCAGAGAGGCCACGGCTGAAACTCTCCATCATGCATTACACTGATTTAGTGATTTATGCTCAAGCATCTATGCTTTTACTTTACTGATACCTCATACCTGAAACTTTAGGGCTTGAGCAAGTCAGCCGCCTTGACATGCCTGACTGGTGCACATGCAACTTGGCCGGTCTGCCGTGTAGAGGTGCTGCCCAGACCTGGACCAACCATGATGCCTCCACGCTGCGACCCACCCTCAGGCCAGCTCTGCCAGGGACTGCAGCAGGGTTGGGTCAGCAGGTCACACAGGGACGAGCGGCTTCCTCCCTCCTGATTGTCTAACGCAGGTGCGGCCCTGGAGATGTGCAGCTTCCGTGGGAGGGTGTTGCATGAACGGAGCATGGAATCATCTGGTGGTGAACCGTTTATCACCACGGCCACCTGTGAGCCAGCTCTAGGCGATGGCCATTCACCCAGGATCATGCAGAAGGCCCTGGAGCGCCGAATCTTAAGCGACTTGCCCTGTCAAGAGTATTGCATGAAATCACCTAATCCCTGGTTTTCTTGTCAAGTCTTAACCCTGAGGGCACCTGCCATCATGCTGTGTACCTGGCCTCCTCCAGCACTGCAGACATGGGGCCCCTCCCCCTACAGGGGCGGCGATCTGTCACGCTGGTCACCTCCCACCCTAGGGTCTGCACTCAGTCTTGAATCATCAGTCCCAACTCTGGCCAAAGACAAAGTTTCCTCCAGAGACAAAGGTGGGCAGGCAGTTCCGAGGAGGACCCTGGGGTGAGGTGACAGCTCCACAGCGCCCCCAGCTGTCTTGCTGGGCCAGGTTATCATCTGAGGTTTATTTGGACTGACCCTGGACCCACACAAGCCTCCACATCTCCGGGGTCCTGAAACACTTTCAAGTAGTTTCATGTGGCCCCAAATGGACTCAAAGTAAGAGCTGTTCATAGATGAAGCAGCATTTAATGCTTCAGATAAACCAGTGCCTATTTCCAAGGTTACAAATGCAAATACCCACACAGATGTGCTCTGCTGAGGTTAGGTTTGTAACAAACCAGAAACTACAAGTAGTGATTTTTCATTTTTTTCCTCAGAAAAATTTCTATTTACCTACACATAGTTAACATGTAAGTAATGTACATATACTGATTTGTGGAGTGCTGTTATTCAATGCATATATGCCCTACCACTTGCATGAATATTCTATTGCTATCAAAATATCTACTGATATTTTGTTGCAAAGTGAACAGTACAACTGAAGGGTGTGTAGCTGTTAAAACTTGCAATTACGGTCCTTACTAAAAGCGAATCACAGGTGTTGTTTAAACAAGGTTGTCTAAGACTTGCTTCTTTTTTGTATTTTTTTTGTCTTTTTGAGACAGGGTCTTACTATGCAGTTCAGGCTGGCCTTGAACTCACTTTGTAGCCCAGGCTGGCCTCAAACTCACAACAATCCCCCTGCCTCAGCCTCCTAAGTGCTGGGATTACAAGGGTACACCATCAGGCCTGGCTTTTTAAGACTTGCTTCTTTAAAGCAAAGATGTGTTGGGTCCAGCAAACCACTGCCTGGCTTTCCCTGACCCATCTATAAAGTCTGAGGCACCTACTAAGATGGTAGCCAGAGCTTTGTAGGTTTTAGGGAAAGTGAACTAAAACACAGAGAAGACATAGCTAGAAGCAAATGGGGAAAACAGAAGTAAAAAATGACACAAACTGTTTAATTTGCTGCCATTTATATACTATATAAATTTTACATGCTGTATATTTACAGTGGGGCAAGTGCTTTTTTAATCTTTAAAAAAACAAAGATCAAACTTTAGACATCTCTGAACAACACAAACTGTATAAACCATACAGATTATTCAGATAGAAACTGTATTAAATACAGTTTTCCCCACTCCGTCTCCTGATGCAGGACCAGTGAATTATAAGTGTATCACAGTTTGATAGCATATCCATATTAAAAATAAAATCACAGTATGATTTTGTCTGTAACTAGAAACTTTAAGGGACCAAGCTGACAACTCAGACTCCAATATCATACAGTTGACAAGACACAGTATAAAAAAGTGTTATGTAATAAAAACATACTGTAAGCTTTACAAATAATGTTTGGATTATACATTCATAATGTGAATACTCATCATAACTGGTAAGTTGATTGGAATAGTTCCACAAAGTTCAAAAACAGAACTTGTCTATAAAATACATTTTCAAATCTTGAATACAACTAAAATATGAAGCAAATTAGTTTCTAGTATCAGACATTACAGAAAACAGACTGCCCTCAAAGTCTAGTTGAGAGCTTGTAAATTTTTAAATAAGTCTTTAAATTAAATACACGCACTGTCAGTTTGTACTTTTAATAATTCCATGGTTTCCCGGTTGGTCTTGCACCATCAGATGTCTAACTTGGAGGAACATTACATGAAATACAAGTAATCAACCTGAGTCTGTAATTAAGCAGCATTTGAGATGTTCTATTCCAGGGCATTATTTTCAATGTGATTTATATACACTGTATTTTACAATGGTCAGCAGTTGTAGAAAGTGTTCATCCTTTTGGAATAAGGGCAATTAAGAAAAGGTAAAAACTAAAAAAAAAAAAAAATTCATGGTAAAATCTGTACAGTATTTACTAAAGAAGCACCACGCAGATTTGAACAAATTTATGTTTATAATTTAAGCTGAGTTGGGATGGCTTCTGTGGAACATGTTGAATCTGAAAGACAAGAGGCGCAGGCATTAGATGAAGGCGGAGGCCCAGGAAGCCAGGCTCCCCTTTCTGTACCACCCTGTCCACGGGTCCCTTTGGCTTTTGGGAAGCTCTTTTCACTTGAAATCATCACTGACTTCCTTAATGGCAGCAGAGGAACCCAGTGATGCCACACAGCTGCAGAGGAACCCTTGGACAGCCAGCCAGGAAGGCGCCATCTGCTGGGCCCAACTGCAACTGCCAAGCCTAAATCCCAAATGTGGCTATTTCTTGTCAATCCTTAGATCCTGCTTTCACTGGGGAAGAGTTTAGCTCCTTAGGCTTAGTGCTTTCCCTTGAAGACGCAGAGATTAATTTTTCTTTTTTTTTTTTTTTTGGTACCAAGAATAAAATTCAGGACCTTGCGCTTGCTAGGCAGGCACTTGCGCTGCTGAGCTATATCCCCGGCCCCAAGACGCACAGATAAAGCATGTTAATTAACTGCACACTGATCTTCTATAGACAATTAACCTTGAAGTTCATTGAAAACCACCCTTGCTGATTGGCTAGAGACACATAAGGAAGGACAGTCTCCTTTCACGGGCTGAATGGTTCACCACCCGCTTTACCTCCCAAGTGCGCAGCATGAAGCAGGAGTCCCCGCCTCCCAGGACCACAGAATACGAGTGACTCAGACACAGCCGCGACACCAAGAAGGTTCTGCTCTAAGTCACCTGGACCTCAT